TAGATAACAAGGATTTTTTTTAAAAATTATTGGTAAACATTAAATTTCTAACCAAACAAAGCTATTAAATATGAAAGTTCGTTTCTTAAAATATTTAATTATAAATATTAAATATATAAAATATAATATAAATCATAACTTTATTAAATACATTATATAATTATATTCAATATTCTGATAATTTTATTTTTAATATCTAAATATTTTGATTTCGTCTTTTCCAATATTCTATTTTTCATTAATTAATTTCACACTTGCTCCAGAAGATTACAAGGGCGGATTTCTACAGACAGCACCATTCACAAACTTGAAAAAAAAGACCTAGAATTAAGCTTTTTTAATTTTTTTTTTTGAATAATTTTATAAAAGATCAGATTCGAATAGTTACTAAAAAGAAAAGATACGTGACTTGATACCACTGAATCGAAAGTCAAAGTGCTTTTTTAATTCCTTATTAACTCCTAAAAGAAGACGAATTTGCATTTTCACTCTCATTTCTTTTTCTACCTACAATTACTGTCTTATCCTCCCTCCGAGAACAATGCATGCCAACCGTCTGCACCTTATGCTGCTGATGGAGCGGTCACATATTGAGCTGCTCCAGCTTCTGAAAGAGCCGCAATGAGCGGCCACAAGTTCCTTGGTTCGGCATCGTCCTCGGCCACAACGGGCCTCTTGTAATCAAGTGATTCATCGTTGTAAATGTCCCACCATTTCTGAACAAGCATCTTGATGTCCTCTCTCTGCATATTCTCTTCTTTCCCAGTGTATCTCCACGGCTTTGATCCCTATATTCATCAACAAACGTCGTCAACATAAGGTAATTATAAAATTAAGAAGGGAGATCTAATTATTAATTTTCTGCCTTTGCCATTACTCACCGCTGCACAGTAGTGAACAACCTTCACTTTGTAAAGCTCCACATTCTCCGGATGACGCCATAACATCGCGAGCACGAGGTTGTAAATATTAGGAATTGGCTTGTAAATGTCCTTGAAGAACATGTTTAAGAAGTCCTACCACCAAAAACCAAAAAGGAAAATCAAATTAATACAAAAAAAAATTCCCATTATTTCCTTTCTTATGTTTAGTTTAAAGAAAATGATGTGGAAGAAAAGGAAAGCAAGAAATTTTTAATCAATTTAAATATCATAATTTGATCCATCAAAGAAAACTCATCACTTTCCTTAATTCAAACATACACTTAAAAACCAATTTCTCTCTATTTACCTGTTCAGCAAAGGGGGTAGGAGGAGTGACTTTGAGAGTCCTGAGGAGATTATCGTAGGCTGTGAGATTCGGCTCAAAAACGAACATGCCGGCGTTAAAGTAGAGAGCAGGTGGCTCACCCATCTCCGCCGGCCACTTCACCTTATCCGGGCACTGTTGGCAGTATCCGATCTTGTACTGTGGGGTATGGCTCCATGTTTTCTCACAGAAACAGTCCATCACGGCGTAGAAATAGCCGTCGGGAAGATCAAAGAGGTGGTCGATGTTATCATTCACTTGAATATCTCCGTCCAAATATATCATCTTGCTATACTCCGCAAACTCCATGATCAAAAATTAACCAAATTCGTGAGAATGTTCATCAATCAAATGACAAATCTACCCATGCATAGATAAAAGTAATCTGATTAGTAGAAGGACATTATCGTCAACAAAAAATATTCCGTATTTCTATAGACTGTTCTCGAAACATGTATCAAGTGACATGGCAGGATAAAACCACCAAATAATTACACGTGTCATGATTTTGTCAGTCAACTAGCCACGTGTTTAGTGAAGAGAGAAGACAGATCAGAAGAAATAACGGCGTGTACTGCACGTACCTCCCAGATACGGAGCTTGGAGTAGTTGATTACGTAATACGCCATGGCGAACTGGGTGTGGTTCTCGGGCGGGTAAACGGGTTCGATCTCGCGCACAACACACCCTTGGTTCTTCAGAATCCGTCTGTGCTCCTCGGGAACGTCGGGTAAAACCGCAACCACTAATGGGTACGCGGTTTTCACCTTCCTCAATCCTTTGGCTAAACCCACGACGCCCTTCACGTAATCGCCATTACCGGCCAAGAAGGTCACGTACGCCCGGCTCGGCAAGGTGGCAAGTTTAGCGAACTCGACTGGTTTCGCAATGGTTTGAACAAGCTCGGGAGCCATGGAGGAGAAAAGGAGAACTGCACAGTGAAGGATTGCTTGGACTCTTTCTCTGTGAAAATTTGGGGAGGGAGAGGGGGGATTAAATAGAAGTTTGATAGTGAGGGTTTCTATTCCTGTAATGTTGGCGTGTATTGATAGATGATCCGACGGTGGACATGTAGTCGTGGGAAGGTTCTGGAGAAAGGACGAGTAGTAATTAAATAGTAGCGGCCGTGGAGGACGGTAGAAGAGAGCTAGATTGTTAAGTGGAGCCGGAATCATCTGCGGTTTGGTGCATGAATCTGCTGCTATTTACGTCAACTAC